TGGAGGTTGTAATCCTTTTCTGATGGCGTCGACTCGAACAAACACGAATTCGCAAGTTTGTGGATGTTTGTTGATCTGATCTCGTCGGGGAGATTGTTGAGGTGCTGTTGGTTGAAGCTGAAGCATTTGTCTAGTTAATCGGTTGGTGAAGCCGGTAATGTTCACGTCTGTGGAATCGGCTGAGGGAACTAGCTGTCCAGGCAAGGTTAGGTTGGTGCCATAAACAGGTTGAGCCGGTGTACATCCTAAATCTTCTTTGATAGTAGATCGGATACCAAGTAAAATTAGAGGTAAGTAATCACTCCACTTAGATGTATCATTTTGCGCCATCAGGGAGCTTTTCAGTTGTCTGTGGAATCTTTCCACCAGACCATTCGCCGCCGGATGATAGGCTGTCGTGGAGATATGTTTCACCCCCAGGAGTCTCGTCAGTTCGCGAAAGAGTGTCGATTGGAATTGAGGACCGCGGTCGGATGTAATAGTAGTTGGTACACCGTAGTTTGACACCCAACGGTCGAGAAAAATCAAAGCAACGTTTTCAGCAGATATGTCGTTTAGGGGGCATGCAATAGCCCAACGAGTAAATCTATCAATCGCTGTCAGGATATGTGTATATCCTCTTGATGTTGGCAATAGTACCACGATATCTTTATGGATATGCTGAAATCTCCTTTCGGGTAATTCAGACGGCTTCGGGGTCGTAATAGTGTGACGGTGTACTTTGGAGCATTGGCATTGGAGACATTCGCGTGCCCATCTCCGAATGTCAGAGTCCATTTTAGGCCACACGAAGCGTTCGCTGATGAGTCTGACTGTGGCGCGTACTCCAGGGTGAGAAAGAGAATGTAAATGGTCGAACAATGCTTTTCGGCAACTGAGAGGGACAAATGGACGGTTAGTGCCGGTAGATACATCGCAGACTATGGTTGCATCTGATAAGGGGATAGGCACCTCTTTGAGCTGTAAGGAAGAGTTTCTGCGGCAGGTTTGGAGTTCAACGTCATCTCTCTGTAATTGAGCCATGCGATCCAGACTGATGTCTACCGCGGTTTGAAGCTGGTTTATTTCACTTCTTGAAAGGGAATCGGCTACCACGTTCGCATCCCCTTTGATGTACTGGATGTCGGTTGAAAATTGGGAGATATAATCCAACTGTCTGGCTTCTCTAGGGGAGTGTTTATCGAGTGAAGTAGTGAAAGCATGACACAGGGGCTTGTGGTCAGTAAAAATAGTGAAGTGCCGGCCCTGTAGTAAGTAACTGAAATGCTTCACTGCAAGATATATGGCCAACAATTCTCTCCCGAAAGTGCTATAACGTGTCTGAGCCGGTTCCAGCTTCTTAGAAAAGAATGCGAGTGGGTAGACTTCACCGTTCATCTTTTGTTGTAATACTGCCCCTACATCTACTTGGGAGGCATCTGTGCACAAAATAAGCGATGCTTCGGGGTTGATATGAGATAGCATAGTGACTTTGGATAAGGCGTCTTTTGCGTTGCAAAAAGATTCATGGGCTTCAGCTGACCATTGAAACTTTTGGGATCATTTTTAAGGAGGTCGGTTAACAGTTGGACGATGGAGGCACACGAAGGAATGAAACGCCGATAGAAATTAAACATCCCCCAAAAACGTCTGACCTTCTTAAGTGAATCTCGTACGGGGAAGTTTTTGATGGACTCTACCTTTTCCTCCGTAGGCGTAATACCATTCGCAGTTATGTGGTGTCCCAGAAACTGTATAGAGGGGACACCCAATATGCACTTTTTGGGGTTAATGACTACTCCATATTGCTCAAATCGTTGAAATAAGATGGTGAGGTGATCAGTATGTTCTTCGGGCGACGAGCTGGCAATTAAAACGTCATCGATATATACAAATACAAAGTGCAAACCTTGTGTGACCTGATCCATGAAGGATTGTGCTGCGTTCTTTAGGCCAAATGGCATTCGGAGAAATTCGAACAGGCCGAAAGGTGTGATGATGGCCGTTTTTTCGATATCTTCTTGGGCAACTGGTATTTGGTGATAGGCCCTGACCAGGTCTACCTTAGAAAATATGGTTTTTCCGTGTAGTGTCAGGGAGAAATCATGAAGATGAGGAATAGGATAACGGTCGGGAACGGTGGCATTGTTTAAGTGTCGGTAATCCCCGCACGGCCTCCAATCATGATCAGCCCTAGGCACCATGTGTAAGGGCGAAGACCAAGGGCTATTGGAGGGTCTGATGATGCCGAGCTGCATCATGTGTTCAAACTCTGCCTTGGCTGCTGCTAACTTTTTCGGGGGTGATCTATGAGGGCGAGCACGAACTGGTTGACCCGTAGTAACTATCTTGTGAGTCACTGTATGAGGGACGTCCTCGACGTTGTACGACGGCTTAAGAATTTTAGGGAAACGATGAAGCAGGGCGGAAAAAGTACAATCCGCTGGTCTTTCAATACTGATATTGTAGACAGAATAGTTGGAGATAATTCGTGGATCTGTAGTTGGGTGTTGCTATTAATCAGCTTTTTATTTTTGACGTCAACTAACAGGTTGAAATTAGTTAATAAACCAGCTACTAGGATGGCGTGACCGACGTCGGCTACTACGAAAATCCATGTGAACCGCCGACGCAAACCTAGATCCAGTATAAGGGATTGCTCTCCATACGTCGGTACAGTTGGGTGGTTGGCTGCCCGGAGAGACAGTTTTCCGGGTGTCCGTGTAGATCGCCTGGATAGTGAAGGAGGGATCACGCTAACTTCTGCCCCCGTGTCTACCAGGAACAAAGTGTCTGAAGTTTTATCCTTCACATAAAAGAGGCGACCTGTTTGCTTGCCAGTAACAGCTGTCGCCATCACTGCCCGGCTGAGGCGTTTCCCTGAGCCTGGTTGGCTTCGCTAAAGCTGCACGGTTTTACACATTTGAGGGCATGACGTCCAAACTTCCAGTGATACCAACATATATTATTATTCCGAGAAGGTGTGTGAGAACGCTGTCGTGAGAAGGATCGTCGTCGTGACGGTGACCTTCTTTGTGAACTCTGTCTCCAGACCTGTCGATCAGACCTATTAGTTTCTAACTTGTCAATCCTTGCCGCTAAGTCTGCAATGGCAGCGAGTATCGGTGTGTCTACAGTGGGTGTGGCATGAGACGGTGTGGCACTATCAGATGATATGTGACTTATGGTGTTATCAGATAAAACATCCATAATACTATCTGCCATGTCGCTTAGTTGGTCTAAGTCATACGACTTTCCTGAGATGATTAAAATTTGCTGGACATTTCTTGGTAAACGTTGCAGCCACATCTGTTTCAGCACTACATCGTCTACTTTATGGTGTCCGATTAACTGACGCATGTGCTTGAGCAGCTGGGATGGTTTACGTGGGCCTAGTTCACAACCTGTGAGCAGTTGTTGGATTCTTTTCTCATCGGACAAACTGGTGCGTTGTATGAGGAGGGCTTTAAGATTATCAAATTGGTGTTCCGTCGGGGGATTTTCGATGAAATCGCTGATTTCTGTCAATACTGACGTAGGGAGTTCTGCCAGCACTGCCCCATATTTGGCTATCTGGGACTTAATGCCCCGTGCGTCTAGTAACGGCTCAATTACCGCAAACCAAATCCTTGGTTCTGCGAAACCGTATGGAGGTAAACGGATATCCGTGATGGCATTTATTGTGGCATTTGTCTCCCTGTTAGCTGTCTGCCCGTTTGATGTACCAGACTGAGGTGACGACATGATAAATATGGGGGTATTGTTGCGAAATGGGATACAAATATAAACCACACACAAAATCACAATAAATATATAAAACAGCAAAAATGAGAATATGAATATGCCAAAATAAACCGTGTTCTTGTCGGGCTCACCAATTTATTTGTAGGTAGTTAGAGTTCACTAGTATTACAAAATATGAGAAATAAAATTCAAGTCAATGGAATGCTAAGTAACGGTATATTACCAAAAGTGCAACGACACGTTATATCAACAAAAGGGTTACTTGGAAATAAAGTTCAAGTCCTCTGCTACAAATTATTTATATAACCCACGGAGACGTTAATTGTTTGGACGGAGTAGGTTGTAGCTACTGTGTCCCGGTTGTAGAATTGTCTTCAGTTGAGCGTAGTGGACTTCTACAATAAATCCGAAAGAAACAACACGGTGAGAGCTGAGCTAGTAAGCCGAAGAAACCAAGGATAAGGCGAAGTCTCCAACAGCAGAGTGTATTTTCCAATCGTACACGGAAGCTAAGTGTATTTCAACAAGAAGCGTTTTAAACAAAAATTATGCACAATATGTCTAATTTCTACAAATAACCAAAAAGTGTACAATCACCTTGTTACGCACTCCACAGACGTACAGCCGATATCAATGCTCGGCCTGCAAAATTGGGCTACCGATATCACATGCTGAAAATTCCATACTTGTACCAAAAATACGGTGTGGAATCAAGCTATAATCAAAAAATAATAATGTACATCAAAATCTATAAATATGTGTTGATTTTCCGAAATAAACGTTCTGTTGCCTGGTCCTTGTCTTCTGTTGTTACAGTATTAGTGTCCCCCTTCCCGACCAAAGCAGACGACCGATGGATTAGAGGGTTAACTGCATTCTCATCAGAAACAGAGTTCCAGCACACTGCATACTGCAAATCACATACAACCAATTCTCGCACTACTTTCCACTGAGTCTTTCGAAGCCACGGCAGTCGAGCGGCAGGACACACTATGCAGAGTTTTACTAGAGATCAAGGACCTTTGTTTACCATTCAAGAAGTAAAACAAAGGAATCACTTTTACTCACACTAGGTTATATTTTGACACAGTCCACCTGAGACACTAATCAATTGCAGCCAATATACTAAGAGTGTGTCGCAGTCAGATCACATGATGCGGACACCAACATAACCAGTCATGAAATGAGAATTCCCATCCATCCAGATAGCATATAACACAATTTTAGTAAATCTTATTCACAAAACATATTTAAGCGAAATTTCAACCAAACGTGACTTATAAGTCCAGCCTATTTGACACATTGTGTGTAGGGCATTGCAAATTGAACACGCAATAATAAAGGCGGTTTCTTGACGGTTCGTGGAATTACTTATTTGTGTCCTATGTATTTGTCAAATGAAATATGGCTAGATGCATTTTGATCATTTCAATTGTTTCGCTTATTTGTAGCAAAAATATGGCTTGGCAGTCAAGTGGCAGGACACATGTTGAGCTCATAAATAACCTATACAGTAACTAGGATACATTGTTTGATGTTTTGCTGCAGAAAATCGAGTTATTACATCGGAAATTGTAAAAAATACGATGATGTCTGTAGACCGTGGGTATTTCGCGAAGTCAAACTCATATGAAGACCGGCCGCTGTCAATTGGTTTCGCCGCAACAATTAGTGCTCCTCATATGGTAAGTATTCACCAAAGTTGGTAGTTTAGTGTGACTTAGAAACTACCCTAAATCTATCAAAAAGACACTAAACCATAGAGCAAATCATCTGTAGATCTGAGGTAGAGATTTAGGCGTCTAATGAAGAATTTACCATAGCATTTAGAGTGCTGATTTTATAACACGACCATATATATAGTGGTGTCATATGAAGTGAGAAATCCTTTGGCAGACTGATTTATCAGGATTTCAGTCTTTTAAGGTGAAATATGTAATAACAGTCAAACTGTAGTCGTAGTTCCACAAGTAGTTCAGGAGTAACTACAGAAATAATACGATAACGGGCAAGCATGGTTTGCGTAACAATTAGTAAACACATATTGTTTACAATTTTGCGTTAATACACCGTATCACTTTGAAATATTGAACCTAAAACAGGAAGAACTACTATTGTGATTCTGTGCCTTAAGTTCTTGGTTTGTCAGTACATTATGTCATGTTTTTGTTTGCAATTGCGTTGGTCAGAAATCGAGCTCCAGATCAGGTGCATATTTAGTGAGCATCTTACCAATGAACCACTAGCGCAATGTTTTTGTCCGTCCAGGATTACTTATTCCCCGTGGATTATCTGTTCATTCGTCTGATCATTAGTAGTTGTCTTATTGAGATATTGTTTCCTGAAACAAGTTTTTGATATAAACATTAATATAAAGTGTATATTATATGGTCTCCTCGAAGTTAATTTGAGGATCACTTCTCAGGAATCAGTTGAGATTTTCTTTGATGCCTAACAAGTGTCATGTGTATCAAGGCTTAAGCTAGTTATTTTGCTTCAAAATATTGGTCATCAACAGATAAACTTATCGCCACATTCCTACTTAAATAGCTGGTTGGTTTCAGAATGGTTTCCAGTTAATCACATATTTTGCGCGTTAAACGTTCTCTGGGAGAAAGAAATCTAGCTTTATGGCTTTCCACCAGTCGCACTGAACCATGTGACATCAATTCGAAGTGCACCGCAATCGCAGGTCGGTGAACACGTTGCATAATTGAGTGATAAGACTCGTCAGCAACATGATTCCTTCCTGACCAATATAGGGTGCACGAACGGCTGGCATTGAGATGCAGTCTAATGATAAGGAGTGAAATATTTGAATGTGTCGACCACTTTAAGTTGTCATCATTTACAATGCAATAATTCCCTCTGCTGCAAATTTTCACTCGTTATATTTCATTTGAATTTTTTCTGCCATTGTGTACTATGTGGATCCGACAATATCAATTACTAAATTTCTGCGCAGTTTCGTGATTAAAACCCGACCAATTAGCACCAACGCGACTTTATGTACTTGCTAGTGACCAGTCAAACAAGAGGTTAAACTTGAGCACAAATGGCTTAGTGGCAGTGTTTTGGACTGCAGAATTAGGTTACGCGGGTTCGGATGGTTGAAGCAACATCACATATTTTGATGTTGCGGATACGCCTGACTAACGAAGGCCAAACAGTGCAAAACCTACATCCAGAGCTTTCTGCTGGTAACTCCCAACCACCTGGCACCAGTATTTTGCAGTTGTGATGGTGCAAGCAAGATAAACGGTCTCTGGCGAACTGGTTTTCCTGTTTGCTTTGTCAGCGTTGCACATAAGATGTTCCGATATGCATCAGTAACCATAGATTGCTAACAAACAAGGAGTTATGGCAAATTGTTTTGTGGTTGACATCAGTCAAAACTGTATCATTCTGGTACTTAGTGCTGCATATTACAGGCGAGGATTTGTAAGAACCATGGTTTGTATTTGACTAACCATTAATTTCCTGTAGTTTATGTTTCAGCGAATTTATTACTTTTCAGTAGTCCGTCATGTATTTAAAGGCCGTATTGTATATTTCTTTTTGTTTTTATGCTTTAGCATGCGCATGCTTTGGAAGCACTAAGAGATCATCTTAAACCTGGTTCACATGCCTTAGATGTTGGGTCAGGTAGTGGATATTTAACAGCGTGTATGGCACTTATGGTAAGTTTGTTTTATCCTGCACAAAAGTTTTACTTCGTAAACAAAGCTCACTGCATATGAATACATCTTGGTATATGTTAGTCTGTCATTCAGTATATTGTTTCTGGAATAGTTGCCAAATAAACTCTTATTGTCATTTGGCTGCATTCAGTCTATTAAAGACAAACGTGATAAAAACAAACAATATCTGAGTTTTTCCTTGACAGTCACACAAAAATGAGTGATATTTAAATGATTGTTTTACTGTCATTTGTGTAAGACAGGAATGAACAGCAACTTGAGTTCGCGAACAGAGTAATGTACACTAAAACAGTTTATTGTCAAAGTCTAGATTTGCTGTTCGTGTGAAGTGTATTTCAACGTTGGCTATTTCATTGACTTCTTACTTCTTTAATCACTTAGAGGTATAATCTCATGAAACTATATACTACTGATGGTCGAGATGAGTAGGTGTACACCACTGATGTCAACCAGTAGTGCTTGCCAACCAGCTAGGTCGAAATAATCTAAATACTGGACTGCTGTTTCGTTCATTTAGAGCTGAAATCATCGTCTGTGTTCAACTCACGGTTCATACTCTTAGGCACTCGGTCTCCAGCCTTTTAGTGTCGAGTTTGAGTCTAGCTCCACCTACCTCAGTCTGGGCAACTGGGTAATGTCATCAGCTCTCGCACAGCGTGGAATAAATGGAAAATCTATTCCAGATAACTGAGTAAAAAAATACTCTTAACTACTAGCTATTGTTATCTGAACAAAGTGGTAAACTCGTTTCTTTTAACATCTACTGAATCTACAGTAGTGGTTCAGTCGTTTATATATTTGGGTAGGAGAGTTAAACATCTTGCGTTATTAGCACTCAATTTGTTATTTTCATTACAGTTTTTGCTCTCAGTCTGTGGATTAGGATTGCTATTTTTTTCTACCAACCAAACAGAGGTGTCTTGGAAACCACCAGGTAGGCTAATCATAGAAAGGAAAGGAGGATTTCGGCATAATAAGGCTAATAATTTGGCATATTCACAAAACTGTGTTACTTTGGGCAGTTGAGATGCGTGTTATTCTCCAACAGTTTTCATTGTTATGTGTACATCAGGACTCACTGATACTTTTTCAGTATGTAGTTCTTGTGTGTCAAAAATGGTCAAAATTTTAATTTATCGTATTCTGTGTACTGTTTCATCCAGATAATTTAGTAAGTTTTTAATAACAGCTTACTTTGGAGATAATAATGTATGTGTACTTCACTCTGAATTAACAGAAAATATTGAGTGCGTAACTTGCAATGTATATATTATATATATATATATATAGTGCTTGCTGGTCTGATGATATTTTTTCATGGACATAGAAATGTAACTGTAAAGCCGTGGACAGAAGTGCATCAGTCCTAGTTATCGTAATGTATGCTGAAGACTAAGTATGTTAGCAGCTCCGTGAGACATCATTCCACTAATGATCTGCAAACAGTGATACTTAATTTCTCAAAAACCACAGTCCAACCAAAGTATTGAATACAGTCCTACAGGAGGTCAATCGTGAGTCCGAATAGCTCAGTGGTAACGTCTCTGACTGTAGGCAGCGCTGGATGACGCGGGTTCGAATCTCAGAAGGCACATGAGTTCCTTCAAGGTTGCACATACGCTTTGCTGACTGGTGACTGCCAACTGGCACGAAACCTAGGTCCAAGGCTTCCTGCTGATCTCCTCCAGCCATCTAATATCAACAAATTACACTTGCATAGATCAGGTCAGAAGGAAGAGACCTCCTAGGTTAGTGATCTTCATGGCCTACTGAGCCATTATGAATCCACTGGCACTATGCGTAATTGATACTGATTTCTCAGCTAACAGTTTTTATTACATACTTAGGTGCCATTTTTCAACCCACATAATTTGTTGTTTAGGCTAGGCGTTATATGATAGCCTAAGACTATTTTGAAATCTAATGTAGTTAATTTGGTAAATTAACCATGTTGATATTTACGATATTTGTTATGCCTACCGTGCTGCCGTCTTCTTCAATAAGCAGTTCTATCTGAAGTAGAATTAGGTTGTAAACTGTTGGTAGGAATCATATCAAAATATTTTGCCAATTCATAAAGTGTGTGTCTCTTGACCTGATTCATAAAGTTGTAATGTGTTGCGCTTCGGTTCCTGCGATTTCAGTTATCATTCTTTGGAGATCATTAGTGGCGGGGTGTCTCACGGTTTAGTAGTATTATTATTAGAACACAAAATTGGTACATTATGGCCACCAAGAGATCGATTTCAAGTCACAAGGCAGTAGAGCTGCGTTCACGTGCTCCCAGTTCAGTCAGTTTGGATTCTGAAGTCCATGTACACCATAGGTTTGGAATCAGAGTTTTCCAGCTCTCCTAGGTAGGCCACGATATCTACTAGTCCGGTTGTAAGCACCGGACGTTCGCATTAGTGCCTCCATTCATTGTTTTGAGGAACAACTCCCCCTCTGCATGGAGCCAGTGAATCGAATAGGACTTACGTGTCAGAGGCTATGAACGCGTGGCGACAATAAAATATTTCCAGAGGAAGACCTGAGTTTACCAACCCTTGGCCGTGATATGTTTACGGGGGCAACAGTGATGTAAATATACTAAATCTTTATCATCCTAAAGGTTTGAAACATATTCACTTACCTCCATTTGAATGTCTTTTCTCCTTTCACATCCATGTTAGATATTGCTGTAGCATTACACTTTTCCCTAACCCTTTTGTGTAATGCTTCTTTTTATGGCAACCTGAAATGATACACTTTTGCGTAGGTTTCTGACACTTATCTGTGTGTCTGTTTGTAAATATTTCTATTTTAATTCAGTACAAGTCATCTTTACTTGTTTCCGATCACTTCATTAACTTTTGGTTACTAAAATCACAAGAATATTAAAGATATGGTCATTGAAACAGGATATGGATTTTCGACACTAATGTCAAGTCAGTGCTTCTATATGGTTAAGAGACTTGGCATATCAGCAATAGCATTTCGAACAGCTGCCCTCGCTCCAGGTTAAAGATTAGATAGCCAAAAAGGATTAGCAACAGGGAACTCTGGGAACGAACCAACCAAGAACCCACAGTCCGAAAATAAACCGAAGTGGAGGTAGATGAGACACACGGATGGAACCGCTGAGTCACATCGCGCTCCAGTCTCTTTAGTGAGACCCGAATCGGAAACGACGAGTTGGGCGTGGATCCGAGGTTGACGTGGAGAAGATTGTGTGAGGAGATGAGAGCTTATAGACAACCGCGGTACTAGGTAAGGACAACTGTAGAGAATATCGTGGAAAGGAGATGTTTTGTTGAATCCGTATATTCCACTCGAAACGTAGGGGAATATTAATAACATTAAGAATAATTTTTAGCGAAGGGACTTTTTTGTATAATTTTTTACTCTCCTTTGAAAGTGTTTGTGTTCACAGTTCGTTGCTTTTACTCATTTTCTTTCTGTTAGCGTTATAAATGAACCTACACCTTCATGATACTTACTTAGCAAAGCATCATGTAACTTCATACTTCCCTTTTGTCTATATATTTAAAGGTGGGCTCCACAGGTGTTGCAGTAGGCATTGAACATATTAATGAGTTAACTGAATTTGCATTAGCAAATGTTGGAAATTGGATGAATCATAGTAAAGCAGCTCAATCAGCTGGCATAGAATTGGGAAAACAACTAAAACTTGTAACTGGTGATGGTCGTCAAGGTTGGCCAGCTGATGCCCCTTATGATGCTATTCATGTTGGTGCTGCAGCTCCAACTATTCCTAATGCCGTGAGTTCGTGTGTATTTTTCTCTTTTTTTCCTTCACTTTCCTCATTGGAACATAGTGCTTCAAGCTAGTGACTTGAAGTTTCTCTGGCAGTATTTATTTTACAGGATGGGGTTGCTAGCCTCATGCCCAACCTTTCCGCTTCACCAGCATTATTTCTGGCTTAGTGAGGTAAAGGAGTGCGTCGGCCAGGGATCGAACCTCGGACCATGTGCATGGTCGGCTAGTGTCCTAACAGCTATGCCACCGACCCACGTATTTTTCTCAAGCTACGTAAAATTCATAATTTTTTCAATTTTTTTTACTGACCTTATTGTGGAGACGTGTCTTATTGTCTGTCCTAAGCACTCGATTTTCAGCTAGTGACTGTAGGGTTTTAGTCCCGTTACACCTACTCCGGGTTGAACTGCTGGGTGCCGGCGGTTAGTCTTCACATGAGATGTGTGTGACTCATAGACTGGACTTGCTTGAAAGATTTGCTCCGGTAACTTAGTTGAAAGAAAGAAAGAAAGAAACGAACTTCCTAATTATATTCATCAGTTTGGCATAGAACATACTTAGCGTATTCGGAAGAATGATACTAATTGACTACTGAAATCTCGATAGATGCAGTTACCTTTAAGCTCGTGTCCCACTGGTGAGTTGATAAAGATCAAACGCTTAGTCTAATGGAGCACAAACATCACAGATGCATCCAGAGAACGCTGACTGTCGAACAGTGATACCATCACAAATCCATCAGATCACATGGTTACTTACAGATTAAGCTACTGTAGACTTTATCTTTCACATTTTGGAATGATTCCATAAAAATTGAACAGAAGTTTGTTTCTTTTATGTATGTAAGTAGAATACTAGTGTATTCTATCACGTTAGATTTGAGTCTCAATACAAATACTCATAAAAAACTGAGCACTCCTCATAAATTGTAAAGAACGTTTTGTACAAAACATTACAGTATGTATGCATCACTTGTCTTATCATACTCATGATGATGAAGTCATCTGTCTGTGCAATAGTCGAACCCAACAGTGTGTTTTCTTCGTGATTAGTTCAGGGTGTTATTCACTGCTAACTTGGAAAGTAGATAAACATTTCGGGAAGAAGACCGAAGTCGTCTACCCACCCCTAGGCAGCAGTACCATGTCGTTTATGGTCGTGGAGGAGCAACTACTAACAGTCACCAATACCAAAGATGGAAAATGCAGTATTATTATCAATAAAATCACTGGATAAGAAATAGTGGTACTGCTCTTTGTACAAAATCTGAAAGAGGTTATGTGAACACCTTGATTAGATTGTAAGTAATATTGCCCTCGAAACGTCAACTGTTAATAAATAATGCATTCTATAATTTGACAATTTCCCCTGCAGAATTAATAACACAATATGCAGCTAAGAGACTCTTTTCAACAAATTTACTATGAAGCTGTATAACCGTATATATATGGTTTTCAAGAAATTATATCCGGTGAGGGAATTGAATCAAATGTGTGAATACATAAAATAGTAATAGTTCGAAATGCAGTTAAAATGTTTGTGATTAAAATCATAGTTACATATCAAGTGTCAAAAGGCGAAACAAATAATGTCATACATAGAATAGTTCATGAGATGTATAGATGTTTAAATTGAGGTGTAGAATTATAGAACTAGTAGGTCAATGTAAAACGTTACATTAACATGATGTGGAATTTGGTAAGTTAGAATTTAACTTTCCAAAACAAACTGATTAAGAATGACAAATGGAACAGGTAAAATAACACCACAAACAATTCAAAATGAGAATAATAATGATGGTAACAATCGACGTAATAAAGGAATGGTATATAAATTGAATAAATAAAACGAAAAAATAGGTAGAGCTAAAATATGAATAGTATTATCCCATACTTTAGCAATAGACGGATTAAGACCATGAAAGTTGGACAGGTTGAACGAATTTTTTTGTATGAAGAGATTTGACTTTTCTATCTCGATCGCCAAAGCTTCAGGCCATACAGACCAGTCGGATACGTAACTGTCATCACTGAGTCACTTGTTTTGATTTTTTGTATGTCCTAATGGGAATCTTCCGTGATTTGAATCACAAACATTTTGATTGAATTTCACAATATTATTATTTCATGTATTTACATTTTGTTTAGATTTCCTCAGGGGATGTAATTTCTAAAAAAGAACCATATATATGTATATACGGTTGTACAGCTTGATAATAAATTCGTTGAAAAGAGTCTCTTCACTGAATATTGTATTCTTGAATAATATTGTATCACATCTCGCGCGCGCGTTTATTTTGCATCAAGTAAAATAGTCCTGTTCTTCTATCTATAGATTATCTTTATTTTCCTATAATGTATTTATAATTTCATGTGTTGTACGACATGTGGTAAAGCATACTTGTCACTTGGTTTTCAGTAAAGTGTCCTTTAATATGGAGTAGTGTGGCAACTGAAACTGCTGCACTTCTGTGCAAATTTCTGTGTTGAAACTCAGCCAGTTAGTCCTGTTTATCAGACAGACAATCTGTATGCTGACCTTATGGGAGCTGTAGGTTATTTGGTTTAAATATCCGACTTCCAACCCCAGTGAGCTATGGGTTCGAATTCCACTCCACCTGTCGAGGTTTGGATAGACAGACAGAGTATCACTAGTATCGCTCACACAGAACAACAGCTGTGGTTCATTCCCACCTACATTGCAAATGGCTGGCTGTTGTTTACTAGCACGTCTAACTTCTCTCTACTGATCTCGATATTGCGTAGTTAAACAATAGCGTCCCAGAGGTGCGAATTCTCCAATGACCTTGGACGCAGGTTAGTTGTTAGTTAAAGACACCTGTCACTGTTATCCTCCAAATATGAACGCTATTCATCGATTAAAGAATGAATTTCACCCGGATCACGTTTTTAAGTACTGTCTGGACAGTGTGCCAATAGCTCGTTAGGATTAGGATCAAAGTTAGGGTTGCAATTAGGAATAGATTTAAATTTCGTATTATTTATTTTAATTTGCCATTATCCTCATTTTCCTAGTAAGCAGTGGTCGATCCTCTTACTGGAAACCATAGTGATTCAACCGATGGCTTTTATTGATTTAAGTATAAAAACTTGGGCACTGTGGTAGAGAATAACTCCATTATGGATAAGATTTTATTTTGATAAATCACACAGTGTTGTACATTAATATTAACTGATGATGACGGCTTTTAGGAAGGACTACAAAACAGGATAAAAGTGATAAACGGGTCAAAAAACCTCACCTTAATTTACCTCGGTAAATACACGTGCAAAAACTTGTCTATCTTAAAAACTGATACTCCTCATTATAACTAGGACGTACTTTTAAGTCATGTCAGAGAAAGATACCCTGTTTAATGTGTTTCCATGCGTTTCCCTTTTTTATTTTTGATTACAGCTTGATTCCACACCGTATTTTTGGTACAGGTATGGAATTTTCAGCATGTGATATCGGTAGCCCAAATTTTGTAGGCCGACCATAGATATCAGTTGTGCGTCGGCAGAGGATCGAACTCCGGACCATGTGCGTGATCGGCGAGAGTCCTAACCACTGTGCCACCGACGCACGTTATTTTTTGTGTGAAAACCAATTTTTTTTATGGTTGATGGTCGGCCCAAAGTCACTTGTGCGTTCGAATCCCTTGGGACGCTACTGTTTGACTTCGCCTCTCAGTATTTGTCCGATTGTTAAAATAGTCATAGCACATTTTTTCATAGTTTCGATTTTGTTGTAATCAACTTTGCTTGTTTATTTGTTTTGTCTAGTTAAAAGAACAGTTGAAAATTGGTGGTCGTCTAATTTGCCCTGAAGGACCAGAGGGTGGAAATCAAGTTCTAGTTCAAATTGATCGTTTAGCAGATGGTTCATTCCAGCGTAAATCACTTATGGGTGTTATTTATGTCCCACTGACGGACAAAAATTTACAATTAGGACCAAGGTAAATTCTTACATATTGCCTTTTTCTCAGGAAAACAAAAAAAATTCAATTTACATATTTTTTATTACTGTGATTTTCCGATGGAATAAATACTCAGCTGAATGTAGTTTTAGTTTTAAATTTTGCTGTTTTTTTCAAAGTCATTTTTCTTGTCACTTCATAACTTTTACCATTTCCCATTTCATTCCTTTGGTTCCGAGTAGTGGATAGGACTCCAAACTTCGAAGTTTTGGTGGCGCTTTCGTCCTTACCGAGAGGGGTTGCTAGCCTTTTGCCTGACTTCTCTTTTGAGTTTACTGCCGTCTAGCAAACTAGACGAGGCTTCCACATCACATTATCCGGGAGTCGGACCCTGCCTTCTGGTGTGACTGGTAAACACTCGACCGTTTCACAACCTATGCTATTAGTAACTGTTATGACTGACATTCACCATATAATAGGTCAAATATGTTTGGCTAGGTGTCCGAAGCTTTAGCTCATTGGTTCAGTTGGTGTTTGACTTCAAAGTACTAGGTCCTGCTTGACCTACAGATTTATGTCAAGTCAAGTAGTATTGTTAGTCCTCAGACAATAAATGCGGCTCATTGTCGGATATCCATGGAAATGCAAATGGTTTTTGTGAGATTAGTCATCTTCAGAAAATAAAAGTCCAGTATACAGCTCCTAATGTTACTGATGTTTAGTAACTGGAGTGAATATGTTGTAGTTTGTGTTAATTTTAGCTTTCTAAGATATATTCATATCATCGGAATCTGTAGTATTTTGGTCGTTTTAGACACGTTGATATCCGACTGTTGGTAAACACCAATTAGCACCATTGAGAGAAACCTAATGTAGGTCTCCCCTTTCGATTACCTCCCCAGCATGGCACAGATGTGGATGTCGAATCCAGCCAAGATCGGGAAAGCAAGATAGGCATTCACTATTTTTGAAATCAGTGTGCAGATTTGTAATGGTTGGCGAATGGAACAACATTCGAATTTTCAGCACTAATGTAACGTGGAGGAGAATCATGTGAAGAGAAAATGAAATCTGGTGGGCAGTATTGTTTTCAATTCTCTCAGTGGACTACACACCTGTGCTTTAATTTTGTTCATAGTGGCGTGTGTGAATTGATAGGAAGTGGCCAAAAATTGAAATCAGCATTTTAGGTCAGTAGCCGGAGAAGTAGCATTGTTTATTCCTCAAATTCAGATTTAGTTTGCGCTGTGGTCATGCAATAGTTTCATTGGACAACTTTTCTTCCGACTGTTTAACCTTGAACCAGTCGCCAACCAATCAGGACCGTTTATCGTCCGCTGACTTTTAATGTGGTTAAAACTGTACTAATTTGCATTCCCGCTCCCAATTCTCGTATCTTCTACCGTTTCAATAGTCCTAGACACTTTCTTAATTGGCATTAGTGCGTATGTACCTGATTCGATATGTTCCGAAGCTTTCACAGTACAGTGCCTTTGTCAGCTTTAGTTATGACAATAGATTTGTACGACCTTAAAGTTTGCAATGCATGACGTTTGTCTTCCGACAGATTTATGGTTGACTACTCTTCATTCGACATGATACATCCAACCTTCTGACTCAATTAATTAGCTTCATCATCAGGTCAAAGGGTTACTACAGGTTCAGTGATGTTATTTCTATTGCTTCCAGGAGTTTTCTAGTTATGTTGAAGTGTACTGCCTTCTAAAGTGATGCTGCTTCGTGTACACATTGGTTTCTCTGTTGAACAAATTGCATAGTGTTCTTATCGTAGTCTGTATTCTTGACTTCTCTGATCTAGAATATGCTGCATTCAGATTTCTAAGTTTTTCAAACTTCTGAATTTTTCTTTGTTTAGTAGTTTTGATGCGATTTCTCTCTTTACTGGTTTTCCTATATCTGATGCACTTGGTATTATGAAATATGCATTCGGGAACAATCCAGAAATATTAGCTAAATGTTCATTATCAATAGAAGACATTATAAGATGCCTAAATTTTGTTTAGAATCTACTTATTTTAATTTTAAAGACAAACTGTACTGTCGGACAAATGAAGTTGCAATAGGATGAACAGCATCTCCAATTGGAGTAAATTTCTATGTGGAAGGTATAATTTGTCATCCCAGAATGTTTATTGTTCACATATGTCGGCAACAGTTCGTCGTTGATTCAGTGGTAGAATACTGGCCAGTCACGCAAGTGGTCCGGGTTTCAATCACCGGTCGGCGTACTCCTTTTCCTTCCTTAGCCGGTTAGTAGTAAGCCAGGCAAAGAGGGAAGGTTGGGCATGAAATTAGCAGTCGCATCCCGTAAAAGAAACACTGCTGCTGAAACTTCAAAGCTCTAGCTTGAAGCCCTATGTTCCACTGGAAACGCAAAGGAATAATATAAATAATAATAATAGTAATGTAGATGACACATTTCTCAATTATTAAGAAAGCTGAAAAGGGGAACTTTCTCGAACAAGTTAACTCCATTTCAAAATGTATAAAGTCTACAAATGAGGTTGAATCGGTTGAGGAAACTGGAAACCTTCTGGATTGTCTTGTGTAAAAAGATTAACTGACTGAAACCGACACATTCAAACAAACATTTAAATTTCCTATCTGATCGTCCAATAATAAGAATGAAAGTCTCAGTAGCTTCAAAATTCATAAATATAGCTACAAACAGTATGACAGATAACGATGTATTTATTCCCCTTGATGAATTTGAATGAAGCAAGAACGACAGTGGTTTGTGTAGAATAATATGGTACCATCATTTATTTCGTTGGTTTCTCATCAGTTGCTTACAGCCTAAATAAATTATGAGGTTTATGTACAGAAAAGTTTTAACATACTTGCAAATTTTACATGTTGTCAGTTGACAGAAAGTTCCACAATTAGTGAACAGTGCTCAGAAAATTGCGCTTATATGCTTTTTACACAGTCAGTTCAAGTTTAAACAAAATAAATGTATGCATACAATGGTAAAGAAATTGCGTAATGAAGACGAGAGATGCGTAAGATGCAGAGTGACTAATAAATTAGGTAACAATATACTGAGTTCAGCTCAAATCATGGAAACAAGAGACAAGCACAATTATAGATTATAAAAGGGGTTGAGGCTAAAGACAAAGATTATGTAATCAGGGTAAGGAAGGACTAATAGCTGCCTCTTTCTGAACACATAAATCTGGTTTCAACCGTTTGATAGAAGTTGCTTCGGCAAACTAGAGGAGAATCGAGCTCCTTTGTCCATTGATAATTTTAAACGATTTCTGGATTTCTCCTTCGCCGAAGCAACTTCTATCAAACGGTTGAAACCAGATTTATGTGTTCAGAAAGAGGCAGTTATTAGTCCTTCCTTACCCTGATTACATAATCTTTGTCTTTAGCCTCACCCCCTTTTATAATCTATAATTGTGCTTGTCTCTTGTTTCCATGATTTGAGCTGAACTCAGTATATTGTTACCTAATTTATTAGTCACTCTGCATCTTACGCATCTCTCGTCTTCATTACGCAATTTCTTTACCATTGTATGCATACATTTATTTTGCTTAATAATGTCTAAACTTGAACTGACTGTGTAAAAACTATATAAGCGCAATTTTCTGAGCACTGTTCACTAATTGTGGAACTTTGTGTCAACTGACAACATGTTAAATTTGCAAGTATGTTAAAACTTTTCTGTACATAAACCTCATAATTTATTTAGGCTGTAAGCAGAAGCTGATGAGAAACCAACGAAATAAATGATGGTGCCATATTATTCTACACAAACCACTGTTGTTCTTGCTTTATTCAGATAACGATGTCATGGAGTATGAGATCTCCAGTGTAAGACAAATTCCGAAAAGTGTGGCATGTTTGAATAAATTCAAGGAGTAAGTGCTTCAAATAATGTTAGTCTATTTCAAGCCGTCTGATTGTTTAGATAAAACTTTGATCAGTATCAAAGATATATTTCCTAAAATGACACAAAATAACTGCGTATATAGGAAAAAAAAAATGTTCAGCATGTGAAGCTTACGGTATGCCGGAAATCAGTAGAAAGGTTAAGGTCAGAGTGAATGAACACAGACACTGTGCACGAAACTTCCGCCTAGAAATGAAGTAGAATTAAAGAGTCGCGAAAAAAGTGGACATAAAATCGATTTTGACAATGTTGAAATTCTAGGGAAAAGCTTTCATTCATATAAAGAAGCATTGACCTTTGAAGCCTTACATATCCTAATAAAGTTGATGCAATGGGTAGGAGAGAGAGAGAAAGGATAGACTTATCACCAGTAGACTGTAATACATCAAAAGAGGTGAAACAATTTATTCAATCTTATGTTGTGACCACTGGAAAGTATTGTCGTGATTTTCAGGTACGAATTGACTTGTTTTCAATATTACAATTTGACTTTAGGCATTACAAATATATGTGATGACTGTTTACATTTTTTTTCTGTTACTACAAACATCAACGGACAAGTGACCTTCGAAGAAGTTCACTTCGATTCATGTAATTTTTGTCCATGTGCGTTGATGGTTAATAAAATTCGAATAATTATTCTGCTGAAGAAGCTGTGGCCTCCTACACAGCGAAACTTCCAGAATAATCTTGTTTTAGTGTTTTAAATACGCTAGAATTATTTCACATAATCCAGTAATAATAATGGTAAGATTATTTTCATAGTGAACTGCTTTAACATCCCTAGTCTTTAATGATGTCATGTTTCAGGTTCATCTAACATTGATATAAACTGCACTCTAATGTATAATCATTTCTCCTATTTCATATGGTAAACTTTGGCTAGCATATGTATATATGTGTTTAGGGGAGTGGGGTGTTGTGTGTCACAGCCCTCAAAATATGCATGGATATCTCAGTGACTACCTCTATAATAAAATTCATCAACTGTCTGACTGAATTTCAACATGGAACCTTGCACAGAAATGCAGCCTTTCAAGTTGCCACACCCCATAAATTCTAACCAGTTATAATGAGAAGAAATGTTTGAGGAGAAAGAATAGCGACACAGTGGTAGATTAAAAATGATGAATGCATCTTCACCAGTGAAAACGATTTCGGGTTCATATCACCACCAATGGTCTTCAGCTGTTGGTTCCCAGAGCCCCGAACCAGGTAGTTTTCACCTCCCTACTAAATGTCAAAGACTTTTTTGGATCGATACCAAGTTTTGGTTTGACTGTCTGTGTAACTCTTTCGTAAAGCTAATCCTGTGTCAAGTATTTCATCATGATGAAATACTGTAACCAATCAACCAAATCCCTACAAGCCAATACTTGAATAACAATGAGATGCTCACTGGCGACTGGCCCTATTCAGGTAGATAGTTACCTGGGGTTCCAGTGGGAAGTCGTGACCGGTAGGGTGCAGCAGGTCGGGTGTGAGGACAAATACTCGCCGAAGACATTGCCTAGCGGTTGCGCTATATCGTGAATTGGCAGAAGTTAGAATTCATGGGCTGGCCATTGGATCGGGTCCCAGTGGTTTAAAGGTATACGAGACCAGAAGGTCCTGGGTTCGAACCATGGAGGTGGGTGGCTGCCTATTGCCGAAGAGTCCCAAACTAGGACGAAACAGCTGTCCAGTACTCCCAGCTGGTTTTCCAATGGTTCTCTAACCAATGTCACCTCATGATGAAATCCTGTAACTAATCCTGTGTCAGCTAACAGTGCCCGTCGAGGAGGAGGATGATGGCTTGGCATGCGTAATACGTGTCCTAGCCTCATTGATTCACTCACCCTTCCTTACCTCACCATTACTCGTATGTATTATAATAGCATTTAACACAGGAGATAGAAGCATGAATTAACAGTGAGAATTTTTATTTTATCAGCAATTATATTTTAGAGTGCTTTTTATTATGGTGTAGGTATTTGGTGATGAATATGTGTTTTAGCCAACATCTTTACTCTCTCTCGCTCTCTGTTTCTGTGTTTCTTGTTATTTCTGTTGTGTTCTTTTCTTTTCCTCTGTTTTACCTCTGATTTAGGATATGGCGTTAATCTCATCACTGACTGACTGACTGACTCACTCACTCATTCATCATCACTGATGTGTCACACTGTGTTATTTGTGTTTTTCTCTCTCTCTCTCTTTCTCTCTCCACTCACAGATACAAGTTAACAGCATCATCATCATCACCATCACGATCATCAGCACAACAGTCTAAAAGTATTGCAGATTATAGTAAAGTGCTATTATCAATGCTTTGTACTGTTACATTGCTTTATCACTGGTGATTTATGATAGTATGTGTGTGTGTGTTCATTTTCATTGTCCTCTACTGCTTTTTGCTCACCATCTGTCTTCATGAACAGAAATGCTCACTCTCTCTCCCTTCTCCCTTTTTTCTAAGATTTCTCAAAGGTGTATGCGGGGTGGGAGGGAGAGGAATTCAGCCTTGTCACAGATTACATACATCCTCCTTCTCATAGATTATCACTTTATATGATATATATTTTTTGGTTTCATCTAAATCAGCTTTTATTTATTTATTTATTTAAATATGTATTTCAAATTTTTCTTATTCATTATTTCAATGCTTATTCAGACAGTGCACTATATCTTTATGCTTCTTGATGACGAGTTATAGCTGTTGTTCATTTATGATTAATGTTACATCGCTGCCATTTTAGATTTGTATAGGGATGACTAACTGATTGCTTGATACTCATATTGTGTACCTAAACTGCCTAATGTATGTGATCCCTGTTTCATTGTACCACAACAGAGTACGGTACGGTTGTGTGCTGCCTGTGTGCCTGTTTGTTTGTCATTCGTATCCCATGAAAGAAGAAATGCCCCTTATGAAAAAAAATAAAAAAGAATTAATTTATGCCAGTATTCATAGTTTTTCTTTTGTATATTTGTTGGCTAAAAGAAGTTCAGGTGTTCTGTCCTGTTCTGTTTTTTGCGGTTGGCTTGAGTTTCCTTTTTATGTATATATATATAACCGATTGAATTCTCGAAATAATAGAAGAATAGTCGGTAGGGGGTAATCTTATTCTTCCTTATCAACGCTAGTTCTACTAAGACATTGGAAACAGTCAACTATTAGCGTGTGTACTGCTCAACAGTGCGCTCCGTCCTCCTTTGTAACTGGCTGTGAGACCTGGCCATTGAGAGCGGAAGACATGAACAGATTAGCTGTCTTCGATCATAGGTGTCTGCGTTCTATCTCCCGTGTGAAGTGGTATAATAATGTGAGCAATATTGAGGTTAGGCCATCGGTCGAGTGCTAGGTAAGGCGGGGAAATCAATAGACGAGACTGTGAAATTACATCGACTGAGATGGTTATGACATGTGCTACGTATGGATGCCTAGTCATCGCCTTCCTGGACAATGGGCAATGTTAGCTGATATAGGGTCAGGCTGGAAAAGAGCTAGCACATGGTGGTCAAACGAAAACATGGCACCAGTCAATGAAATCTACAATAGTTAGTCTAAGCCAGCCACGCAGGAAGGTGTAGACTTCCTGGTTTTTGTCCTCGGGACGGTAAAAACCAATGGTTGGAAACAATTGGTGACATGGCTCAAATTCATCGTTCTCAATGGCTGGTGCGGATGCATCCACTCCTTGCGACTGACTTATGATTTCCAATGAAACTGTTTTGTTCTTCGTTATTACTATACCTTTCTCTCACACCTTTATTTACTGTCTATATTATGCATTTCTCCTACTTTCTTCTCTTGCTTTGTGTGGTACATGGAGGGAGTGTGGTGAGTTGAACTGGTGCACCTATGTGCAAAGTTCTATGTCGAAAACCGACCGACAGCAACTATAAGCAGCTTCACAAACCCCATCGATTGAGATAGTTGGTTAGTATATGTGATAAGTATGCCAAGCCATCACCCCTTCATCGTCGAGCAATCTTAGTTGACATATTTTTTAGGTTGGAGAAGAGTTAGGGATAGTCAAATAAATCCTGATATTAGTCCATGAAGTCTTTCATAGTTCGTGTGAGTCGTGTATTGAGGTATGAACTACACCTGATTGAGGTCCTTGGGTTGCTAAGAATCAAATGGTTTGACCCTGTTTGGTGGTGTGGCCCAAAATCATTCTCAGTGGTGTAGATGCATTCACTCTCCGTCGACTCGTATATCTACCAAATTGTCACGTTTTTCTGTTACTATTTTTGCTTTCTCCCATACACTTCTAATTGTTTAAGTTTAAAATTTCTTTTTTCCACCTTTATGTGATGTATGCATTTTTTAAAATTTTATTATTCCCTTGGGTTCTGAGCAGAACATTGGGCTCCATTTCACGATGTTCTCTGCAGTCCTTTAAAGCTGGCTCCACGATTTTACACAAGCTCTCATCTTTTCCTCATACATTCTCTTCCATATCACTCTCAAATCCACGCCAAACTCATCGTTTCCCGTTCGGGTTCCGCTCGAGCAGTGACCTAACTAGGGCGCGTGATGTGACCCGACAATCTCCTCAGTTTTTCATCGACCGATCTCCATTTTCTCCGACATCTATGTGTTGATCAGTAGATTGTTGAGTGGTTCATTCCCAGAGTTTCTCGTCGCTTATTTCTGTTGATGTAACCAGAAGGTCCTGAGTCCGAACCCCGGGGGTGCGTACTGCTAAAGAGTCTCAAACTAGGACGAAACAGCTGTCCAGTACTCCCAGGTTTTCCAATGGTTCTCTAACCAATGTCAGCTCATAATGAAATCCTGTAACCAATCAATCAAATCCCTACAAACCAATACTTGAATATCTGTTGATGAAAGTTTGTAGTAATCTGTTGGAAATGCTTCTCAATGACGTGCCAGGCTTCTGACCCATATAGAAGAACTGACTTGACATTGATGTTGAAAATCTAAATTTCATTCTTTCTGGTGAGTGCAGAACTGATTTCAAACTGATTTCAGAGTGAAGAAGATCTGTCTTGCCTTTCTGATTCTGGTTTTGACACCTTCATCCGTGCTTGCTGCCTGTAGTTGAAACGATGCTTCGTAGATAAGGAAGGAAGGAAATGATCTTTTCCAAATTTATTCCGATGATAGTAATTGGTAATCGTTCTTGTTGGTTGGTTGGTTGGTTATCTCCATCACCTCCGTCTTCTCCATGTTCATCTGAAGTCCTGCTTTTTCTGTCAGCTTGTTGGTTTTCACCCATAAGTCTTCAAGTTTGTGTGATACCTTCAAGTCCTCCAATCGACCAAACATGCTCCTGTCTTCGCGTTCCCTATGTCCTTTTTTGCACAATCCAGTCGACTATAATCAGGAATAACCTCGAGGATAGTAGACAGACAGACAGTATTGTCTTACTCTGTGTGGAATGTGACAGCTTGAACTGCTGTATATCTGTCCCAAATTCTATATTGGAACTCAGTCAGTTCTTATGCGGTATTTTTTATGGGTTGGTGATTCTATGTACTTGACTGAAACTAATTCAAATTGCAGATCCTGAAGGTTTGCTGCATCTGTTTCATGCGTCAAAATAGTCATATGGGTGTGTTATTTAGCTCCATTTCATTAGTGTGTTTTTTATTTGCTCAACTTTTGTTCCTTTTCTAAAACTGACATTAACCTATCTTTTGCTGGTTTGAATAATTACGTAATCGATTGGGTTATACGTTTTTTTAGTTTGTATTATATTTCAGTGGTTCTCTAACTGATGTCAGCTCATGATGAAATCCTCCATGCAATCAAACGAAATCCCTACAAAACCAATACTTGAAAATTAATCTGATGCTCACTAGTGACTGGTCCTATTCAGGCAGTTAACCTCGGGTTCTATTGGGAAGCCGTGACCAGTAGGGTACAGCAAGTTGAAGATGAGGCAGTAACTCATCGAAGAAGACATTGCGAAATGGTCGCACTATGTCGTGAATTGGCAGAAGTTAGAATTCAAGGACCATTGGATCGGGTCCCAGTGGCTCAATGGTCTACGAGCTCGCCTTGTTTGTAACCAGAAGGTCCTGGGTTCGAATCCCGGTGGGTGCGTACTGACGAAGAGTCCCAAACTAGGACGAAACAGCTGTCCAGTACTCCCAGGTTTTCCAATGGTTCTCTAACCAATGTCAGCTCATGATGAAATCCTCCATGCAATATTTCAGTTATATTAATGTGATGACATTTAAATACTTTGAAGTTTTGTTACAGTGAATAGGTAAATATACATTTTGTTAACATGAAGGACTAGGGAGAGGAGACGAAGTGGAGTTTGTTGATTCGAATAGACTGAAGTAATTCAAGGAGTACTGTGACTTCTTTATAGAAGAGTTGGAATTCCTATTTTATTAATCTCTGAAACCAGTTAGACTGACTCTCACTGATAGTGGATCCAATCGGTGTGATTAAGGTCAAGCTTTGTGACCTATTTCGACTTATTTTCGAATGTAGAAACTATATTGACATTTTTGTTACACCTATTTGTATGTGGGTCTATTAATAATTTAAGCAAATCATTTACAGTCATCGCTATGTCAACCAGTAAGTACTAAATTCCATTGAATAAGTTTGCATTCTAATCCGAAAACCTTCCTACATATGCAGAAATTACTCTCTCTCTCAGGAGCTTGATGAGGAGGTACATGAGAATTGAATAGATTTGATGGCCAATTTACTGTTTGTTGCTAAAGATATCTGAGCTTCTGTACCAGTGTGTCTACAATAGGGTGAATCTTGTAGGATTATGCCTCCAACGTGTAGCAAAGGTGGCTATCTAATTTCAGTTGTTAGCAGCTTTCTTTGGGAACCAACATCAGTTAGAGAGATCATTGGGAGAGAATCGGGGAGCCCTGTACAGGTATTTCCTCCTATTTCGTGGGACTTTTGTCTGTGTCCACCCACCCTCCAGGGATAGAACACGGGACGTTCAGGTTACGAGACAAAATTCGCGTTAACCATTCAACCACTTAGGAGGGAATTGAATGACTCGCGAGTTCTAATCCTCTAACTGATGATGTTGGTTTGTAACAAAATCTTACAAGTGAAATTAAACTTCTCCATAATCTTAATTCGCTGTCTGTTTGGGATATTCAGGTACAACAGAAAAGTGAAATAATAATTAGATAGCTCTCAGTGGGAGAAAAAAACAAGCTGTTATTTTAGCCACATATCGACTATTAGTTCGAAGTCATGTGATTGGCTGATGTTGTAACAAGCTTGGCTTCGCACATTTAACGTGCGTGCAGCTTTAAACCACAGCTTATGTAATAAAGGTAGAAAAAACAAAGCATTAATGTCAATTCCTCGTATTTGTTGTTGTTGCGTCAATGACCCTTTTCGCTTTTTGCTTGTTATTCATTATATGCGTGTGTGTGTCAGTGTAGTTCAGACGTAGCAATCATGTGGTTATTTTAATCCATAGGAATTGTCAGTTTTAGGTATACGCGGGGAGTGTGGGGGTGGTGAAAATAAGAGATTAAAAGTCATCGAAAGAAACAGTTAACTAGTAGATGTTAGCAACAAGATATATAAGTTTAAAAGGAGAAAGAAGTGAAAATTATTATTACGGAATTCAAGGTCAGTTAATTCTTAAGGGAGTTAGCAACAAGTTATTGTATAATAAAGAAATCTGTAGAATAATGATTACTGAGAAGAAAAGAATGATTTAGCAGAATTAAGTAAGATACAAATTATTATTATCATTACTATTATGACTATTGTTTCCTTTAATTCCTAGAGGAACATAGGG